TGTATGTGTTGATATATATACCTGTTTTTTTACATAAAAACTTCTTTTTAATGCATGCAACTTTTCTAAAACATCTCCATGTAACACCCCAAAATCTAGATTTGTCTATTTTATTGATTTATTGGTGATTTATTGTGAATATTATATAACTTGAAGATGATATGTTGTGGGTAGTAAGTAGGAATAGAGGTGATAATTAGAATTATTTAGAATTAAATAGTTTTAGTTATATTATTTGGAATAATATATAATAATAATGAAGTGTAGTATTATGGTGGAAAGGGGAATAAGGGTGTAATGGTATGTGTGTGTGGATAAGTGAGTGTAGAAGAGAAAAATCATAGAAAAGGTCTGAGGCTAACAAATAAAAAGGAAAACAAGAGTAATTGGAACCATTATATACTGTTATACTTCAATTTTTCCCCATAAAATACCTCATCATTTCATATTATCAAAACATCAAGATCACACACTAGGGTTGGTTCTCTCTCTCTCTCTCTACTCCATCCTATATTTAAGTTTTCTCTTGAGGGATCACCAAGCACCTTGAATTGTGTATCTTGAGCATGTGTTCTTTTAACTAACATCAAAATATGTATATATTTCTCCTTGAATATTTATATGGTAGGTGATGATACAATTGCATTCATCTCACCATCTAATTTGAGGTTTGAGAGTTGATTCTCAATCAAATGATTCTTTAATGGATTGCAAGAGCTCAAGCTTCAAGACTATGTCTATGATATCAAAGATTTGTGATTCAAAGAGCTCCCTCACATTGTTTAGGTTAATTTCTCCTCAAAGTTAGTGATGGAATTCATCAAGAAGATTCATAGATTCACGTGTTTATTTCCATGCCTTCTTCAACAAGTTTAATTAAGATTTTAACTCCATCTTTGAGTGTGCTTCAAGATAACATCATTATATCATACCCCAAATTTGTCCGGCCTTTTATTTCTACAGTCAAAAATATTTTAAATATTGTTTTTATAATATTATTTGATTTTTATAGATGTTCATTCTCAAGTCCAGTCAAAAATATTTTAAACTTTGTTTTTATAATATTATTTGATTTTTATAGATGTTCATTCTCAAGTCCAGTCAAAAATATTTTAAAATTTATTTTTAAAATAATATTTAATTTTTATAAATATTCACTTCTAAACCTATTTAAAAATATAATGATTCATTTTAAATTATTTGTATTTTTAAAAATAGCAAATATCTGCACACCTTTCATATTCTTTCAAATTGAATTTATTTACAAATGAGTAACACAACATTATTGGTCAAGAATAAAGCTTACAAGTATAAGGTTATAGGTTCAAATCTCTTGTGGAGCACTTGTGATGTTATTTTTATTTATTTTTGTTACTAATTTTCTTTACTTTTTGGAAATCAGGCTTGGGCTTTTCATTCACTTTGAATAACTTACTTGTTAAGTTTGTCCAATCTAATTCTCACTCTATAAATAGGACTCCTCATTGTCTAAATTTTTCATCCAAAAATATTCATAATTTTTCACAGATCCAAGATTCACAATTTTCACAGTATCCATAAAAACTTGCTTTTTCTTTTTCTTATAATTATTGTTCATAGCTTATTCAAGGGTTGTTGTCTATATCGGACAACAACTATTCTTGGTCAAAGTTTTCTATATGAGCCCCCATCCATTTTTTCTCCAGCTTATCTTATTTTAATTATAAGTTATTTACTGTTTAAGCCATATGATGATAATAATCTGATGGTTCGATTAGATCTATTGGTTCGTACAATATCTCTTATGCCTATTTCATGTTTCTTTCGTCTTTGTTTCTTATCAATTCCATCATATAACAAATATTTACTGGCTTCTTTTTAATAAAGAAATTATTTATTAATTTCTTTTTTATATACACATTTCTAATATTTTTGTTTCAATAATTTATGCTAATTTTCTTTACTCCTATTTTCTCTAATTTTTTCTAGAGTAACATCACTTATTTTCACTCACATAACCTACAGATTTTTTTTTTAAAACACTCACAGTCACACAAAATTTAAAAGACATAGACTCTACAGTGTGTTTTTCTTGATATTCCTATTGTTCTTCAATTTAACCAATATAACACCACGGACAAAATCATGTTCTAACTTGCGACTTTAATTATGTTCTAACAATTTAGTCATATTCTAACCTACAATAGAAAAGTAACAACATAACAAAATAGAACACAACTTCAAAAATCACAACACTTCCATAAAAGAAGGGAATAAGAAAGAGAGACAAATTGACATCAACAATAATGAAAAACCCAAGCACCGTTGCGTGTTCACTCCATCACGGTCGTCGGCCACCAATATTCCTTGTTTTATTATAAGGAAAGGAGGACTTTGGTTTGTATGGTGATGGTGTTTTTTTAGTATTTGTTGTTTTTATCATGAAGAAGGAAATGTTGAAATAAGATGTTACAGGTTTGTTGTTTTCCTCTGATACAAAAAAAACACCGAGTTAGACCTCGTTCATTATTGTAAATAGGCCGTTACAAATAATACAGCCAAAGTAATAGGAATTAGACCTAACAAGATTCTAAATAGAAAAAGTTCAATCATTTGAGTTTGGTTGAAAGTAAAAAAGGTGGGGGTAATATCAATCCTTAAATATGAATTTATATTGACCATGAATCTCAATGACCAAGAATTGGAAATATGATAAGGAACTTTAGAATATCTAAAATTTCCAATTTATCTCAAAATTGCAAATCAAATAAGTCGTATCTTATTCAGACTGATAAAAATACCTGCGGTTATAGTTAAAACCGCTAGTAGAAAACCGAAATAATTGGTTAGAGTAGACATAAGGAAACTAGATGAAATATATTCTTTTTATACATATGTTTATAAAGCACTTTCCTAAGTTTCCATATTTTTAAGATAAAAATAGGAAAAGAAGCAAAAAATACCACTTGAAAGATACAATGGAAAATAGTTGATTCATGAATCAATTATTACGGACAAACAAAAAGAAAAATATAGTTACATAGGTAAAATATCAATTCATCATTTGTGACATCTACCTAACCTGTGATTCTAAATCAACATATTTCTTGATCAACTCATGACATGAGTTGAGTAAACTAATTGAAGGAAAATTGTTTTATTTATTTATATAATTATATATAATATAACGTATATATATATATATATATATATATATATATATATATATATATATATATATATAGTCTTAAACTTTGAAGAATTTTTGATTCAGTACATCGAAACAAACAACCAGGAAAAAAAGAAATTTTACTTTGTAGTACTCGATCTCGTCACTTATTGTGAAATTTTATTGCTATGTTAGAAGAAGGATAGTTATACTGATTTGGTATACTAGAAAGAGACCCTTGGTACACGATTGACGATCGTAACAAAGATTAAAAATTTCAGTAAATTTCTACTTACTGATCTGATCTTTTATGGAATCGATCCCCCTTTGACTGTATAAGAATATGTGGAGTTTGACATGTCTAGAAGCACAGGAGAACGTTCTTTTGCTGATATTATTACTAGTATTCGGTACTGGATTATTCATAGAATTACTATACCCTCCCTATTCATTGCAGGTTTGTTATTTGTCAGCACAGGTTTAGCTTACGATGTATTTGGAAGACCCCGTCCAAACGAGTATTTTACAGAAATCTGACAAGGAATTCCTTTAATAACCGGCCATTTTGATTCTTTGGAACAACTCGATGAATTTAGTAGATATTTTTAGGAGGCTCCAATGACCATAGGTAGGACCTATCCCATTTTTACAGTACGATGGTTGGCTGTTCACGGACTAGCGGTACCTACCGTTTCTTTTTTGGGATCAATATCAGCAATGCAATTCGTCCAACGATAAACCTAATCCGAATTATAGAGCTACGACACAATCAAACCCAAAGAACAAAATTTTAAATTGAATCGTACTAGTCTATACTGGGATTTATTACTCATTTTTGTACTCGATGTTTTATTTTCAAATTATTTTTTCAATTAATTAAATTCAATTAATTGATGAAAAGATATCATTCGGAAGGATATCATTTCATAATTATCTATGACTGTTTAGGTCTCTAGTATGACTGACTACTTGATCAAATATGGAGGAAAGTGGGATAAATGGCCGATACTACTGGAAGAATTCCTCTTTGTATAATAGGTATTGTAGTCGGTATTGTTGTGATCGGTTTATTTGGTATTTTATTTAATGGTTCATATTCCGGATTGGGATCATCCCTATAATAATCAGATGAATTTAGTTTTTGAAATGAAAGCATAAGAACTCAACGGGGATCCACTCTTTCTTTGATTAATTCAAAGGGGTCCCGTTGAGTTCTTCATAATCAGAATATTTTTGTCAGTGAGTCAATAGATAACTTTATTGTATGTTTCAAAAAATTCCATTTCCTTTTTTTAGGATCTTATGTGTAACAATAGGGAACTATATACTGTACTTAATACTCTATTGAACATAAAAAAGATTTTGTAGAACCAAACATTTTTTATACTAACAGAATCTTACTAGAAATATATTTCTAATATAGACTCATGATTAAATTCTATTTTTGAAATGAATTAAGAAAGTTGTATTTGCTGAATTCAATTTCCGGTCTTTTTTGTTTGTCCATTCCTTCACTACGTATCGATTTCGACATAAACAAGAAGGAATTGGACTCTAGGAAAAGACAAATTATCTATCCTAGAATCCTGTTTTACCTTTTTCTAATTTACTTAATATTATCTACCTACCTATTTTTTTAGGTTTAGTGTCGAGTCAAATTTAATTCTATTACAATATAAAGTATAATATTTCTATTCTAGGACATGAAAATATGAAAACAACGACATGATCATATGGTTTGAATTAATTGTGCAGTTGAAAAAAAAACCAAGATCCAAAGGTATTTACACATGATTTATCAACAAAAATGGAGTTCTTTTTACCAGCTTAATATGTTGATAAATTGACATTCCTAAAAATTCATTTCAGACAATTGCAGCTTCTCAAATTGTTTCTTTTTAAGAACCAAAAAATTTGTGCCAAAATAATAGATGCCAAGAAGAGCAAGAGACCTTGGACACGTAACGGATCTTGAAGCACTATTTTTGCATCCCCCTGACCAAATCCACCCACATTAGGATTACTCATTAATGGTTGATTAAGTTTGATAGATTCGCCCTCTGAAACAAGAAGTTCTGGTCCTGGCGATATAATATCAATCACTTCACGTCCATCTGATGCATCTACTATTGTTATTTCGTATCCACCTTTTTCTTTTCGTATTATTTTGTTTACTACACCTGTTGTTGTAGCATTATAAACATTGTTATTACTCTTGCTTCCGTCGGGATAAATCTGACCCCTTCCCCTGTTCCTGCCTACGTATATAGGATATTTTAAGAAGTAAACATCTCTCTTAGTAGCGGGATCTAGAGAAAGAATAGGAAAGGTAATTTCACTATATTTTTTTCTAGGAACGGGGCCTATCACAAGAATATTTTTTTTGTGGGACGATAGCTTTGAAAAGACAAATTACCTATATTTTCTTTAATCTCGGGCGAAAGACTATAAGGAGGGGCCAATTCAAAACCCTCTGGTAAAATAAGAACAACTCCCACATTCAAAGCCCCCTTTTTACCATTAGCAAGAACTTGTTTCACTTGCATATCATAAGGAATTCTAACAACTGCTTCAAATACTGTATCGGGAAGTATCGCTTGTGGAACCTCAATATCTATGGGCTTATTATCTAAATGGAAATTAGCACATACAATTCGGTCAGTAGCTTCTCGAGGGTTTTCATAACCTTGTTGGGAAAAATAAGATATGCATTTGAAATGGGTGCTCGAGTTATTATATATATCATGAGCAATACGGAAATGGATCAGGTAATCTCTTTCTTTATCCAAGAAAAATCATTTCTAGTTTGCATGGTCCAATCATTGATCCTAAAAATTTCTACAATAAGATTAGGTAGCTTACTGGCACAGTTCCCTATCCCTGATTCTGCTATTTACTCCAAATATTTTCCTATAATATAGGAAGAATACGAGTAAAACAAAAATGAATAAGTTCAATTTAAAATGTTTAGCTTTTCTATACAAAAAACAAATTTTAGAATTGGATCATTGGTTCGTTTTTTCATTCCTTCATGGAATGATAAATGACTACAAGCGACGGAGATACACGACTTAAATAACGGAAAATAGAGTATTTAAAAATAGTATCTAAAATGACTGGAAAAATCGAAACAAGACAAGATATAATCTGATCATTCAGAGTAAATCCAAAATCTTTATAGACAGACCCAATTATTAGTTCCCAACCCTGAGTCGAATGGAATCTTATACAAAAAGAAGTTAATAAAAGAATAGAAAAAAGATTTTATTGTGTCACTTAAATTATATAGAAATTCTTGAAACCAAGAGTTAAGAATAATAAGTTCTTTATTAGCCCTAATAGAATAACCACTTAGAATAAGGAAACAGATTATATTTGTACAGAAATGCAAAATCGTATGGATACGGTCTAGGTTGTTCGTCTTGATCAATTGGATTGTCTCTTTGCAGATTTCGATACGAAGGTTTTGTAAACGTGTTTTCGAGTATTCCTTTAGCATTTCATCAAAGAGGAACAATTCCTAGAACTCTAGAAATTTCTTTAAAATACTTTTTTTCCTTAATAGTATTTAAGTCAATTTCGGATTCTTTCATATTCCACCAATTAGTAATCCAAGATTCCAGACTTTTCTGAAATGTAAAAGAGATGCATCAGGGCAAAAAGAATATAGATGTAAGACATAGAAGGGGAATTCATGCTTCTTTTTTTCCATTTTTCGTCTTTAATGAACTTAGTTTCATCTCATTTTTCAACTATATATAATAATAATCTTTCTATCAAGCATAAGTTCTATTACAAGTAAATACGAGTAATAGAGCTTAGCCTAGAATATATCAATTTATAATTTTTTCATAGAAATTGAGAAGCTATTGTTTTTATTTGTAATTCAGAGGTTAGTTTATTTTTCCTTCAATTTGAAAAAAGAATCCAAAAGAATACATAAATCAAATAAGAAAACGAAATAAGCCATTGCCAATTTGAATGAAGAAGAAAAAAAGTGTTTCAAAAGCTATGAATTAAAAATCAAATTGTTTGGATACATCGATTTCCATTGGTATACTCAAGAATATGGAACGATTTCCATTGGTACACTCAAGAATCTGGACAAGTCCCAAGCTTTTTGTATAACTTTGCATGGAGTCCTATCATCAACAGGAGTCAAGGGAAAAGTCCCATGCTCTCTGTAGCGATAAAAAATGTAGCGGGGTAAATCGGAGGGGGCGACGGATTCAATAAGTTCGTTTTCGTATTCGTGGTATTTTTGTTACGATTTGCATGTTGTGATTTTGGTTCTGTTTTGATTCTTACTTCGTGTTTCACATGATTATTGAGATATTATGAAGAAAAAAAAGGGTGAAATACTACCTGGAGAAGGAGGAAGGAAGGTGAGGAAAGCTAGGAGGCCGGGACGGCGAGGTTTGACGCTGTGGGCTTGCTCCGGACTACCGGTACTCTGTATTTATCTTACTTCTCTTCTTCTGTTGCCTCGAATTTGCCTTATGATGAATGTTGAGCTTGATAATTGCCTTGAATTTGCCTTATGATGAATGTTGAGCTTGATAATTGCCTTGTTGCTACTGTTGAAATAATTTTAACTAGCTTCTTTCTTCTTCTTTCTGACTTCTGTATGCTTTTGTTGGAAAGGTTTGACAGTTTCTTTTCTTCTTCTTGCCTTTACTACTGTATGCTTTGCTTATGGCCAATGATGAACATATTGAGGCCTTCGTATGCTTGGATTTGGTTTTTGAGCGTGTATGGCTGGTTTATGGCTTTGCTGTCTTGAAAATAGGTTATATGATTCTTAGGCCATAAGGTTTTGTTTTACTGAGGCTATACTGGTTTATTAGGCCATTACAGGTTTTACTGGTTTAGGCCAATTTATGTTATCATGGTTTAGGCTTTGAAAATGGTTATGGTTTGGCTTTTGGTTCAGGTTTCAACAGGTTATGGTTCTTTAGGCCATGGTTTATGCTTTTCTGGTTTCGGTTAGGCTGGACGGCAGGTTATGGTTTTAGGTTCTGATATGGTTTAGGCCAATGTTGTGTTTAACAGGTTATGGAACAAGTTGATGGTTTTAGGCCATATTATCTCATGGTTTATGCAGTGGGCTATGGTTTTGATTTATGTTGTAGTTTTTTGGTTTGATGTTTGATGGTGGTGGAGGGTTTTGATAATGGTTATGTATGGTACTGGTTTTTTGTATGATGCAGTAGGAATGGTTTTTGAAAAAAATGGTTTTTAAGGTTGATGGAAATTTTGTTTATGCTTGGAGTATTTGAGTTTTTTGAATACTTTAGGCAGGTTGAACTCTCTCCTTTTTTTGAAAGGGGTTTACTTGTTATGTTATACAATTTTGCTTGGCATCTTTGTTTACGTTACAGGCTTAGGTTTGAATATTTTACAATATTCTCTTGGCAATTCTGCACATCTGCTTCATATGGTTTGTTTGTATTCCTTTCTTATGCTTCTTTTTCCTACTGAGTTACTGTTGCAGTTTGTTTTGTACCTCTTCCTGTCTAAACCAAAACCTGTAAAACCATCTTTCTATCTCTCTTCTCTCTCATGGGTACATTTGATGCATTGAAGTGATGTATTGTACTGTATGTTCTGAAATTGCATAGGCTGGAACATGATGTGAATGGAAATATATTATGCTTGCAAAATTGTTTTTAGACTGCACATTTCCTTTTGACTTCCAATGTAACAGTGGAAGAGCCTATGCATTTTGGCTTCTTCCTAAGTGCATGGCATAGTTTACGTTGGCTTTTGGTGGGAAGCTTGCATATGTAATGTTTATGCATATGCTGTTGCTTTATGCCTTTGAAATATGCATGGGATTTTTGAAAATGCAATTGATTTTAATTATGCAGTTTTGAAAATAAAAATGAATTTTTGCATCTTTTAAATTTGTGCATTCATTTTGAAAATAAAATCCATCCCTTTTTGTGAACCGGGAGAAATCCCGCGATTTGCAAAAAGGGTAAAAAACTGATTCCAGCCGTTGCTTTTAATGATGAACACTGAAATAATTTTCTTCTTTTAATCATTTATTTATTTCTAACTTTTCTTTTAATTGTTTTTGCAGGTAAAATTAAATGAGCAGACAAAAAGGCATTGGATAGAAGATGAAGATTTAGAATTTAGGAAAATAGTTTTTATTTTACTTTAAACTCTTTATGTAATTGTCATTATAAATATTTTGTAAATAATACAATATTTAAATAAAAATTGTAATAAATAGAATAAAGTGAATAAAATTCTATTATTTCCCAATTAATTCTTTTTCTTTCCAATTATTTATTTATTGTTTATAATTCTTTAAATTATAATAATTAAAAATCAATTTCAATTACTTAAATTCCGAATAATAAACAAATAAATAAACGTCATTGATCAATTAATAACTCCAATTATTTAATTCATTATTCATAATTCTCTAAATTATAATAATTAAAAATAGAATTTCAATTATTTAACTTAGAATGATAAATAATTAAATAATCATTGTTGACCAATTAATAAACCTCTTTTCCAATATTTATTTTATTATCTATAAATCTTTAAATTATATAACAATTGAAAATAAATTCCAATTATTTAAATTTAAGATAATAAATAATTAATAAACATTGTTTTAGCATGAATCGATTAATAAATTTAGCGTTCAAAAATAAACAGCTCTCGACTCGAAAAAGTTATGAATTTTAAAAATCAAAAGATCAAAACACTTGCAATGTAATGATGCAGATGGGAGATGGTATCTTAGGTCAAAATTTAGGGTACAACAGCTGCCCCTATTTAAGTTTCTTCTATCCGGAGATATGAAGATTAAAATCTTCGTTTCGACGAGATTAAAGGTACTTAAATACATAATTACGCAAATTTTGTCCTAAGATGCCGCCCTTATGTTTGATATGAATGCAGTGATTAAGTTCAAAGAGAAAGATATTGTATGAAACAAGACAATGCTGGAGAAATCAAACACCAACAAAACATAGAGACATGGATTATACGTTACTGGGGAAACGAGCTATCGACTTCAAACGACAGACTCTTGAAAGCGAATAAAATTGAGGGAATACGACCTCTGACCCTAACAAAGAAGGCATCTTGCATAGGCCATAAACATATTATTGACCCAAAACAGTGAGCTCACAACTCAAGGTCGAAGATAGACGAAAAGCAAACAATCTTGCTGATGATGGATTACCGACTTCTGAAGGTAATGATTCATGACAAGCTTCTCTGCGAGATTTCCGGAGATATACTCATTAATGCTGATATAATAATATTGTAGATACGCAAGTTGTTCAAATAAAGAAACTGCCACTTGCTGTCTTGCCAAAAAAATATTATGACATACAAGCTACTCAAATAAAGAGGCTGCCACTTGCTGTCGTCCAAAAACTATGACATACAAGCTGCTCAAATAAAGAGGCTGCCACTTGCTGTCCTCCAAAGAAAATACCAATAACATACAAGCTGCTCAAATAAAGAAGCTGCCGCTTGCCGTCTTCCAGAAAAATAATAACGTACAAGTTGCTCAAATAAAGAGACTGCCGCTTGCCGTCTTCCAGAAAAATAATAACGTACAAGTTGCTCATATAAAGAGACTGCCGCTTGCCGTCTTCCAGAAAAATAATAACGTACAAGTTGCTCAAATAAAGAGACTGCTGCTTGCCGTCTTCCAGAAATCCTAATAACGCACAAGTTGCTCGTGAAGAGCTGCCGCTTTTCGTTTTTTTCAAAAATAATGATGACGCACAAGTTGCTCGTGAAGAGCTGCCGCTTGTCGTTTTCCAAAAATTATAATAACGCACAAGTTGCTCGTGAAGAGCTGCCGCTTGTTGTTTTCCGAAAATAACAATAATGCACAAGTTACTCGTGAAGAGCTGCCGCTTGTCGTTTTCCGAAAATAATAATAACGCACAAGTTGCTCGTGAAGAGCTGCCGCTTGTCGTTTTCCGAAATAACTCAGAAGGAAATTGCGATGACACTGGCAGATAATAAAAAACTTCGTCAAAGAGAATCATGAATCAGTCTATTCCCGAGGAGATCACATATAAATGTGCAAAATAAATGCACCAAACGTCTAGGTCGCAACTTCACTGGGGAAAATCATGAGATAGCCTACGCAAGAAACAACAACTTCATCCAGGAATAACTAGAGAGAAAACAGTCACACAAAGCTCTACCCAATGAGAAAGCAACTCGATTGGGGAATTCATCCCATCCAGAAATGGACAAGATGAGCTAAATCAAAAATCATCCATGAGGATTAGCTCAGTTGGCGAATTTAGAAAGGAAGCACATTTTCTGCCTAAGCTAACCTTCTACTTGGAAAGAAACATGTACGTTATTTGAATAAAAAAAGTACAACCCAAAAGTCAACGGCAAATGTGAGTATGCGTGCATGATATAAGTGTAAATGGGTAAATGAATGTTATGCTGACAAAACAAACCGATGGAATATCCTGAAGACGATAAGATGTCACGACA